GGCTTCTAATTAAAGTTTAAAAAGTGTGACACAGTGACACACTGACATTCGCATTTATTATATAGATATATATTCAGTTTAAATACAGATAGAGTCAGGAAATTGACTTTGAAAAGCTGTATGTTTTGGCTTAGATTCTTTTTCTCTGAGTTTGCGTTGACAGAGAGAAACGGAAATCAGATCTCGCGATATCCTTTTCATATCCTTCAGATTGTGTTTGCATGTTCGTTTACGTGGGACGCTTGTATATTTTAACTCAATGACAGACCTGGCATATATTTCTACAAGATTAAAATAAATAAATAAAAAATAATTCTATTACCAAATAATTACTGAAAAGTTCAATTTTATAATTATCAGATTTTTATAGTTTAAAAACGTATTAATTTATTTGTCTCTAACTATGATATTACTGCTCAGTTCAGGATAAGGATTGTCCAGACTGAATGGGAATGGAAGATATGATTCCAATGCCTCAAATCAAACTTAGTCAAATTGTGTTTATATATATATATATATATATATATATATATATATATACTTAGTAAAATTGTGTATATATATATGCATATATATAAATATATATATATATATAAATATATATATAAATATATAAATAAATATATATAAATATATAAATATGTATATAAATATATGCATATATATAAATATATATATAAATATATATATATAAATAAATATATAAATATATAAATATATATATGAATATAAATATGGATATGAGATATATATATATATAAATATATATATATAAATATATTTATAAATATATATATAAACATAAATATATATATATATATATAAATATATATATATATATATATATATATATATAAATATATATATATATATATATATATATATATATATATATATATATATATATATATATATATATATATATATATATATATATATATATATATAAATATATATATATATATATATATATATATATATATATATATATATATATATATATATATATATATATATATATATATATATATATAAATATATATATATATGTGTGTGTGTGTGGGGGGTATGTGTGTGTGTTGGTCTCTCATGTCGTATTCGATGCATGAGGGTCAAACAGTTCAGTTCCCACGAACCGACAGCCCAGACACCAGCACATATGATTTGATTATAGTGATGAAGGCTTTGTACAGAACCAACCACACTTTTTTTTTCAGTCAAATTCATTACATTCACTTATGTTCTAATACTCTTGGGAAAGGTACGAATCCTCTTCTATCCCTCCAGCTATGGGTAAATAGCAGGACAGACTGGGTTCTATAGCCTTGGAAGGCAACTGGTCTAAGAGAAGGACAACTCTAAATTCAAAACCTGCGGAGCGTCGTTCAGTTGAGGTCTCCGGGTGGTAGTCCGCGCCGGCTCTGGCCAATGGCCAGGAATTAAAAGCTTTTATATGTATAATAATTTCCATTCAGACATTTATTCACTGAGGTACCAAGGGGGATAGCTGAGAACAATTCCCACGAAAATATTTATAAGAAAGACAAAAGGAGCGACGTCACGGCGATGGGAAAGTGACTGAAGTCGAGATGCCAGGTCAAGGTCGATAACATTGTAGATTCTTCTTTGGATTTTATTGAGAAGCTCAAGATATGTAGCCGGAGCTTCAGATCAGATATGGCAACAATATTCAATGCATGGACGAATGGTAGATTTATAAATCTGTAAGATTGCAATGAGTTACTCTCCTGGAGGTTAGCATCAGCCATACTTATGGAGGGTGCAAATAGTTCTCGATAGTGATTAAATGATAGCGGTTCCATTTTTTGGAGGCGTCAAAATTTACAAGCCATTTCTTGTCTCAATTAACAACTGATTGGAGGTCGTTAAAATTCTCGACTCATAGAAGAATCCGTACAGTAAAAGTCATTAGAATTGAGTGGTAAGTTATTTTTCTGGGATGTAGGGTATATTTTCAAAACAAAATTAATTACAGTTTCCTACAATACATAAAAAGTCAAGAGAAAAATCTACCTGACATTCTTGGAAGTTAGCCAAAAAAAAAAAAAAAATAAATAAATAAAAAATGGCGGATTGCAGACGGTAAGTTGCAGCTAAAGAAAGACTGCGTGCTTTCAAGTGGCTACAAGAAAGTGCCGGTTATCAACGCGGAAAACGATATCACTGATCTCGAGTTCAATTTCCAGCTAACTCTGTTCGCCGCATTCATTTCATATTGCTTCCCTTAGGAAATGCATGTCTTCATCTTTTCTCATTACTAGTCAATAACTTGATTTTCTCAAGTAATGGTAGAAGTTGGTATTTATTGCACAAAAATTGTACAAATGTGGCACTTGATCTAAAATGAGTTAGGGGGAGGACTGATTTTCACTATTTTATCACTTAGCTAGACACCATCACTGACCCATCCGCTCGAAAACTTTCCTTTTCACCATAATACCTTATTGACACTGCACAGTCATACAACAGATACCACAATATCGCAATTTCCCTACGAACTCCTATCTAGTTCCATATGTACAGTTTTTGTGGTGGGGGAGATTTTTCTTAAATCATTTCACCCCAAGCAAGGTGGTAATGCCATTAGAACGCAGGGCGTTACGGGGAGTGAAAGTGAAAATGAAAATGAAAGAGAAGACTAACAATAGAAATAGGAAGGATTGAGGGAAGGATAAAAAATGAACAGGATTTAAAAACACAGAAGATGGCGATTGACGTTGAATTTAAACTTTGAAAATTGTAGTTATCAGTGAAGCAAGAAATAGGAAAGGAGGGAAATGCGAGAAAAGAAACTGCTACAGTAGAAGTGATAGTTGCATTTAGCTATTTCAACGGGAAAACTGTGGGATTTAGTTGCTAATCTAGTGGCACATTTAAACTCATATAGTCGGGCACTAGGGAAAAAAGCTCATCAGAGCAGTTGCTATGAAAATATTTGTAAAAAAGACAGAGGGAAGCCACGCCACGTCGGTGAGAAAGTAACTGTTTATGAGGTACCTGGTCAGGATCGATTACATTACAGCTCCTTCTTTGGATTTTGTCAAGTATCTCAAGATGTACAGCAGGAGCACAAGACCAGATATGGCAACAGCATTCAATGCACGGACGAATGGTAGATTTGTAAACGTGCAAGATGGACTGTGAAGAGAACATTTTTTCCTGGCACGACACAGTGACCCAACTTTCCTTGCAGTAGACGTAGCAATTGATTCGATGCAGTCGCTCAACTTCATGTCAGTGGAAAACGCGAGGCCAAGAAGGCGTAGAGTGTTTCTCTTCTGGAAGTTAGCATCAGCCCTCATGATGATAGGCAGAAAAAGTTCTCTGAAAATAACAACTTTTCAACAATGATTATTTATAAGGACAGAAACCATATTTGCAAGAAAGAAAAAATGTTAGTATTAGATCCTCTCCAATCCTAACCATGGCAAAAATAACAATTAACTAGCAGTAAAAAGTGCAGTATTTAATCAGTAAACTAAATCGATAACACATTTAGACACAGTAACAAATACGGAAAGACAAAAGTTAAAAGAATGAAGGGTTAGAAATAAAATAATTTGTGTTTTTATTACATTCTGCGCTAAGATGTGGCACAAGACCAAAAGTATAGGGCACCCAGTGAGGCTCTAACTCACTACTCAGTCGTAATTGATCAAGTGTGACAAGCTTGCTAATCATTATATTACATAAATGCCTAGGCGATTTACTAAGATGTGGCAGAAGGCCGAAAGTATGGGGCACCCAATGAGGTTCAAACCCACTACTCAGCCGTAATTAGTATAAGCGAGACAAGGTTGTTAACCATCACACCACATCGAAGTACCTCTATCTAGTTATGAGAGATATAAGAAAGCACACTAGGCCAATTACTTTTGGTCGGGTTACTGATCTACGAGAAAGATAATTTTGAATTTAAAACCAACTTGAAGACGGGTGAATCCAGGTTATCTTGCCCTAGACACGCTCACTGTTGTTACTGTAATACATACAGTTCCCCCAACGTCACTAAAGTGGATCACAGGTAGCGTATATACATTAAATGCAAATACCTCCATTGATTAGCTAAAAATCATGAAAAAAATACTCCAAACTTAAGATGAAAGACTAAAGGAATTTTTGATTAAGTTACATTTTTGGTCCTTTTTAGAGTGCTCGAAATTTCGGTTATAAACTTTTTTTTTACGTTAGCGGGGACCCAAAGATTAGTATAAGAAATTGTAGCATTTTTGGCGGTAAAAAACACGTTGATTTGGAAATTCTTGCAAATAATTGTTGGATTTTAATGAAACTTTCAGGATTTATTCCCAAATGAATGAAATAATTTTAGAAAAGTTTCTCTTTTAGAAATATTAGTAAAAGTATTTTATCCTTTACATCTATTACCCCCCCCCCCGCACCATTTATTTAATTTTATGAAATTTCGAGAAATTAAATTTTGTGTCGTTTATATTAGTTAAAAGCAGAACTCCTTGGAAAATTTAAATAATTAATTTCTTTTTGCAAAACAGGACCCCCGTTACCGAAAATCTGCACTGAATCGTAAAATAAAAAAAAATGCAATAAAATGAAGACATTATTAAAATTAGAAAAGCTTTTAATTGCTTTTATGAATAAAATATATTATGGACAATATTATTTTCTTAAGAAAAGTAATTTTCGATCAATAATGAATTCTTACAAAAATTGTTTTCATTTTTTACCATTTATAATTTAAATGGCTTTACTTTTCGTTAATGTTTTAAAGAGATCGGTTGCAAGAAAATAAGTACAGAGTACCTTTATATGAGGAAGTATATCCTAAAAAAGCCAAATGATGGCCTGACAGGCCCAAAGCAAGACGAGAATAATTGCCGAAAGAGGCAGCGTCTGTTCAAGGATAAATAATAATACTATTCAAATCAATTTGGCAAATGTATTTTCGGTACAAAATGTAATATTATTCTTTTAGCAGAATAATTAAACTGATATTATTTTAGGTTCCGGTACGATCACCGAAGTTAAGCAACGTCGATTCTGGTTAATACCTAGATGGGTGACCGCTTGGGAATATCAGGTGCTGTAAGATTGGATGTGCGGATGGTGTAATGAATAATGGCCTAGAGTTGTTAATTGGAGAGCCGAGTTCCAATTTTACTTGGTTTCGTAAATTCACTTATATAACCTTTGGAAAGGTATGAATCGAGCTATTCTCCTCCCAGCTATGGGTTAATTTAGTAAAACTAAAGCTATTATTATCTCCCACCACCAAAAAAATTCTTATAATCTAAAAATATTTTCTGGCTTTAAATAACCTGCAAAGTGTTAATAAGCCGTAGAAAACAAATCAATTAATCAGTAAAATATTGATTAGCTACACAGGCAAGTCTTTTAGATTTATTTACATTCTCTGGAATAGAAATGTATAGAAACTATCGGGGTCATAAAGTGAGGGATCAGTTTATATATTGATTGTAATATAGAATTGATCTCCCACTTTATATCCACCATATAATTTCTTGTTTATTGATAAGCCATAGAAAACGAATCAATCAATCAATGACAGACTGATTAGCTACACAGGCAAGTCGTTTAGATTTATTTACATTCTCTGGAATAGAAATGTATAGAAACTACCGGGGTCATAAAGTGAGGGATCAGTTTATATATTGATTGTAATATAGAATTGATCTCCACTTTATATCCACCATATAATTTCTTGTTAATTGATAAGCCATAGAAAACGAATCAATCAATCAATGACAGACTGATTAGCTACACAGGCAAGTCGTTTAGATTTATTTACATTCTCTGGAATAGAAATGTATAGAAACTATCGGGGTCATAAAGTGAGGGATCAGTTTATATATTGATTGTAATATAGAATTGATCTCCACTTTATATCCACCATATAATTTCTTGTTTATTGATAAGCCATAGAAAACGAATCAATCAATCAATGACAGACTGATTAGCTACACAGGCAAGTCGTTTAGATTTATTTACATTCTCTGGAATAGAAATGTATAGAAACTATCGGGGTCATAAAGTGAGGGATCAGTTTATATATTGATTGTAATATAGAATTGATCTCCCACTTTATATCCACCATATAATTTCTTGTTTATTGATAAGCCATAGAAAACGAATCAATCAATCAATCAATGACAGACTGATTAGCTACACAGGCAAGTCTTTTAGATTTATTTACATTCTCTGGAATAGAAATGTATAGAAACTACCGGGGTCATAAAGTGAGGGATCAGTTTATATATTGATTGTAATATAAAATTGATCCCTTACTTTATACACACATTATATACACACATTATAATTGTATTATACTTGTATCATTAAACCATTATTATCTCCTACCCCAAAATTCTTACAATCTAAAATATTTTCTGGCTTTAAATAACCTGCAATGGGTTGATAAACCGTAAAAAATGAATCACTCAATGAAATACTAATTAGCTACACTGGGCGTCCTGGGTAAAACAATTAACTACATTCAACAGCAAAGCCTCTGATCAGGAGGTTTTGAGGAGCGTGGAACCACCTTTTAATTGCTGGTGTTTTCAGGTCCACCCTGACCTGTGGTAGTTGTACCTGTTAGGGTCCCAGCTATGGGTAAATAGTCCCCCCCCCCCAAACTGGGGTCAAAGCACTATGAAAGTGTCAAAGTAGGTTTTTGTAAAAAATTATTACCAGCAATCCATTTTTGGAAAAAACAAAAATATTACCAGCAATACATTTTGAAAAAAAAAATATTAGCAGCAATAAAAATCTTCAGTATCTGTCTATATTTCGGAGATGAGGTATTATGTACACTATTTACATTATTCGGACTATTGTCCTCATCTTTGTCGCTATATTTATTATTACAACGTTTCGGCCGTTGTACGCTCCGGCCTTCTTCAGGTGGTTGGAATGTCGAACTGAACCCTTTATTTCGCTCACTGGGGTAGACTGTTCTAGTTCCACGTGCCATGTTTAATGGATGTCAGTTATCAGTTATCTCCTGTAATTCCCCTCTCCAAGTTCTCCACTGCCTTAACCGGGTATTGAACTCACACTCTTTGGGTCTTTGTCACTGGATGTAACTAACGCCTTTCTCCACTGTGCCATGTGTCCTTCAGTTCGACATTCCACCCACCTGAAGAAGGCTGGAGCGTACAGTGGCCGAAACGTTGAAACGTTGAAACGTTGTATGGCGACAAAGATGAGGACAATAGTCCGAATAATGTAAATAGTGTAAATAAAAATCTTCTTGGCATTCAATAACCCATTCAGATTGATATGACGTAAAACAGACCAAAACAAAGATACACAGGCATGTCTTTTAGTTTTATTTACATTCTCTGGAATATAAATATATAGAAAGTATCGGGACACAAAGTGAGGGATCAGTTTATATATTGATTGTAATATAGAATTGATCCCCCACTTTATACCCATTATAATTTGTTTCTTTATCAAATTCTGAGTAGGCATGAATCCACGTCTCCTCCTAGCTATGATTTAATTATTAATTAAACTTGTATCACGAAATACCATTATTATCTCTCCCAAAATTCTTACAATCTAAAAATATTTTCTGGCTTTAATATAACATGCAATAGGTTGATAAGCTGTAGAAAATAAATGAATGAATGAATCAATCAATATTACGTTACAATTTTCTATTAGTTATAAAATACTATGTACATCCCAGTAGACAGATAGTGTTGCATTAGGTGCATGTTCAAATCACGTCGTGGTCAAAATTGTTGCAACACTGCTTCTATTTAGATTAAAGCAACAATATTTTACACAAGCAAATGAATAGTGCAAGGCAGTGGTCCCCAAACATATTTTTCTCTGGGCCGCATCTTCGGAATTAAAATTTGCTCGCGCCTCATGAAACTTTATGTGATAAAAAGTACATTTAAAAATAAAAAAAAAAACAGAGAAAGGGTTAAAGGGAGATAACCGCGGATTCAAAGTCAGAACATTATCATTGATAACTCTCTCCTCCAATTTGAGGATCCTAGTTACTATATTCTTAATACTTGATGTAATGCAAAAATATCACAATGATAAAATCAGTCAATAATTATTTATAACTATTTATACTGAGAGTCATACATGCAATTACAAGGAATCCTGAATAATATTTAAAATTTTAAAATCATATTTATTTTTGGCATATGAATTCTTTGAAACTGTTTCTAAATCTTTGATTGTATTTCAATCACCCCCGCCTCACCTGCTATCCTCTTCCACCGCACCTATGATGTGCGACACATCGTTTGGAAAACACTGATGTAAGGAATTAATAAATTTCAACAAGACAATATGTCAAATTTTGGTTTTTTATATGACTGAATAAAAAGGAAAAAAATACACGAGTATGCATGCAAAAGAAAGGAGGTTCCTTTTGACGGTGTCACTCCACTATGTTAGAGATGAGAGAGGATGATAGATAGATAGATAGATAGATAGATAGATAGATAGATAGATAGATAGATAGATAATAGAGGAGATAGATAGATAGATAGATAGATAGATAGATAGATAATAGAGGAGATAGATAGATAATAGAGGAGATAGATAGATAGATAGATAGATAGATAGATAGATAGATAGATAGATAGATAAGAGAGGGGGATAGATAAATAAAAGATGGGATAGATAAAGAAGATCTTACAAGTTAGGGATAATGTGGGTGAGATGCGTACGTGCGTGTGAAAAAATTCATTTGCGAAGAGGAAAGTTATCTTCATGCCAGGGGAGATGGCGCGGGAACGTGGGGTGGCAACCCACAATATATATATATATATATATATATATATATATATATATATATATATATATATATATATTGTGCACAGAAAACAACGGCTTGATGATAGCTTAGAGCAGTGTTTTCAACCTTTTTAAGCAACGGTTCACCTAGAAGCAAATGAAACTATCATGGCACACTTAGCAAAATTTTTAACGGTTATACATTTTAATGTTATGAAATAAAACCATAGATTAAAAAAAATACCCACACAGATATAAACTTAGTTTATTTCAATGTTTCTATTCAACTCTTTGTGCAGCTTATTTAGTGTGATACCTCTGACTGGTGTTTTTTTTTTTTGTCGCGAATAACTTAATAACTCAAAAACGAAGGATTCGCGGATATATCTTTATATGAACTTTTGTCCTTTTTAGGTGTGAGGAATACGTCCCCAAAATTTGTAAAAGTATTTTTGATATATATATATATATATATATATATATATATATAAAACATTAGGCAGTATATGATTTACATACAAAGAAATAATCACACATAGAATTATTCAGAAGTATTTAATGCGATTATTGGCGACATCCATCGCTAGAAAACATAATATATGCATTAAAATCCTGTTCATCCATAGTGCGAGTTTTGATCCTTGTCGAAAAACTTGTTGTCTGTAGTTTTTCAGTTTATTTGATGTTAAAATGCTAGTACTTACGAATAGTCTTCTATTCATCATCAGGCATGTTTTTTTTTTTCCCTTATAAAATCAAAAACTTGAGACGATATACCTGTATTTCGACCGATGAACAGGATTTTTTTATTATAGCGATGGATGTCGCCAATAATCGCATTTTTTTGATTAATTTATGTGTGATTATTTTTTTGTATATATATATATATATATATATATATATATATATATATATATATATATATATATATATATATATAAAGTGAAACATAGAAGTCAACACTTAGAGGCGACAGGCTGCTTCATGCTAGACGCAATCGTCAAGCCACGAGTGTTGTTATTTTATATTTACACACGCTCTATCTCTGATATTGAGCACTTTATCCTATAAATATAACACCTTAAGACTATATATATATATATATATATATATATATATATATATATATATATATATATATATATATATATATATATATATATATTTATGTTTATTTATGTAAGCTTTCGAGAATTTATCTACAGGATTTGAACGTTCTTTCATAATATTGCAAAGATTTTTTAATACTGCAGGTTGTTTTGGTGTGTGGAGGGGGGGTGTCAAATAAATGGACTCTTC